ACATGATCTGATAGTCAGAACAGCACATTTCTTTTATTTCGTACCGGTTGGTTTATCTGAGCATCATCAGAGAGTGAACTGTTCTAAGCAAAATAATTTTTGCTTGAATGAAGCAATGAAAATCCTTCTAAAATACCCTCCTCCGCCATCTTACACAGAAGACAAAAGACAGGGTTTAGTCTTTCTGATGGCTCTGGGACATCGTTATGAACAGGAACCACAGTGCTGTCTTCAAAGACCTCTGACCTAAGTCAGGCTTTCAGTCCTATTGTCAAACGCCCACAGAAGGACTCTGGAATTCCTCTTTCTCCTTGTGGACCACTGCATACACTTGCCACCTTGCACCTAGGCTCTGGGCCTCTGCCTCTGATCTTGCAGCCGAGGGGCTCCGGCCACCTGCGAGAGCAGTGCGGGCCCTGTGGTAGCTACTTTCTTGTCCTCGAGACTTTTAAAAATGTTGCTTACAATCGGGTCCCAGCTGTGTTTTCCGTGGTCACAAATGCTATGATTGTACCTACGCTCAACTGTATCCATTGAACAACCTTTTATTGAGCCAAGACTCTGTGCTCCGAGAGGAGAAGTGCTGCCCGCACATTCACACAGCCATACCCACCCTGGCCCCTCTCACATGGTGCTTGGTGAGCCTGGGAGCCGGAGGGGGATCTGGTTATATGCAGATTCTGGATGGGGCCTGCGGGTCTGTGTTTCCAACAAGTTCCCGGGGGAGGCCGCTGCTGGTGCCTAGATCAGGTCCCAGAGTAGCAAGGCTTCCGTGCAGAAGAGACAGATCCAGACGCCCCGGGGCAGGCAGGCCAGGCAGCTGTGTGGCGCCCAGGCAGGCAGAGGTGCCGGAAGAGATGGGAACCCCTCCCTGCCCCAGCTAACGTGTCTACAGAAGCAGAGTCGGCCTGGAAGAAACACATCTGCAGGCTGCACTCAGCCCTCCACTTCTGGTAGCGGCCTGCCGGGGAGTTGGGCATCTCAGGCGCTTTGTGGGTAAACGACCCGGGTCACACGCGAGTCCTTCCACCGCTGCCCAGAGAGCAGGTGACCGGCTGGGGCCGAACGCCTGACAGGAGCCGGGAGCGGATCCGTTGTGGAGAACTGTGCAGCACTGGCTCAGGCGCTCCCTGAAGCCATGAACTTGGGGAGGAGGGAGAGGGCGGCAGCATCCTCATATTTAAGTGCCCACACCGGTCTGTTCATCGTATGCGATTTCCTTTCACCTTCTCCGTCTTGCGGAGTGCGGCGTCAGCCTCATTTTACAGATGAGGAAACTGGATTTCAAGAGGTTAACTAACTTGGTCACCTGACCCAGCTACTCGTTGGTGACGTGAGGACTCAGAGCCTCGAAGCCCTCTTCGGATAATGCAGCAGGTCGGGTGTCTGCATATGCCGGGCACACTCATTAGCTCTGATCTCACAGAGCCCGCGAGGTCTGTGCAATTTTTCCTGTCCACAGATGGGTATACTGAGGCTCAGCGGCTGAGTAACCAGCCCAGGCCACAGGGCGGTGGAGCCAGGAGGCAACTGAACACAGTCCTCCACGCTGTGCTGCGGGAAAAGGCTCGGGGCAACTAGTATCCAGCCTCAAGCCCTAGAAGGGGCCTGAGTATGGGGAGGGGTTGCCAGAAGTGGAATTCCAGTACCCCATCTCCTCTTTAATTGTCGCGATCAGGACGTGGCCGTCCTCAACCTGGTAAGACACTGCCATCCCTGTACTTGCCCCCAGCCCGCTGGGACGCGTCCCGTGTCCTTCTAACACTGGCAGCCACAAATACGAGGGCTGTGGCCCAGAATGTGTGCCTGCCTGTCAGAGCCTACTGGGCTGCCCATCAGCGCAGGACTCTGTGGCTATTGGGAGCACAGGATTTAATTTCTTCCCCCTCGTCTCATCCCCGAAAAGTTTGCAGTGTGCTAGGAGAGGCGTCGCAAGAAGCACAAATTTCCAAAATAACTTTGGATTTTTGTTGAATTCAGGACGTACAAGAAATTCTTTTTATAATCAGGCATAAAATGTCTAGGGCTTATGATTTCTTTACGATAGATGAAGTGGCATAGCCTTGAGCTCTCCCCGGCAACACACACACACATGCACACGCACCCAGGTGCACATCTGCTGAGAACAAGACTTCTTCCAATTACCCTCGGAAATCTGGGCCGGTCACCGGGGGCTCCTCCCTCCGTGAGAGTGCAGTGAGGGCCAGGAGCTCTGGCTGGCTGGCCACCTGTGCTCAGGCTGCCCGTGAGAGCTGGAGGGAGGTAGACGAGACGGCGGGGAAGATGGAGTCTTTGAGCCACAGGTTCCAATGGCAGGTGTCCCAGAACTTGGAGACTGGAGAAGATTTTGTTTAGCTCAGCAAATGTCTCCCCAGGGAAAAACTTCCCCCAAGCTTGATTTAATACTGACCCCAAACGACTTGAATCAGACATGCAAGAGTTACAGCTATACGAGAGCAGTTGGGATTATAATACGCTTACAAAAGAAGGAAACAAGCTCAATTTGGGGGTCACTGGCCTCCTCCTCCATACCTGCTTCATGACTTGGCACATGGATTATGTTCCGCTGCCTCCTCCCAGCCTGCAAGCCCCATGCTCTCCTCAAAGTGCTCGGGAGACACTGGGCAGCTCCTGGCTCCCAGAGCCCACAGAGGTTTTTCATCTTGGGGGGCTGTGCTGAGTGACTCCTCGGGTGCTCCCAGGCTGTTGTCCCACCTGCTGCAGGCCCCACATGTCAGCTGAGGGCTCCTCAGGGCAGCCTGTGGCCAGGAGCTTCCAGAGCTGGCGCTCTGTTCTTAGAAGCTGTCTTCTGGCTCCTTCCCACTTGACCTCCAGAGAGACTGAGTGTGGGCATCGCTTTGGATTGAGGGTTAGAGCTTAAAAGCATTCTATGTTTTCTTGTCAGTCACTCCTGTCCTCTGGCTCCACTAGGGTTATTATGAAAGGTTGGTGCCTCAGTTTCCAAGCGGCCCCAGCTGGAGTCTTCCTCCTACCCTTGCTTCCACTCCAGGCAGATTCCCCAGGCCAGAGTCTCCTGCCCTGGGGGCCCAAGGGACGAACTGAAGGACTTGGGACAGCAAAGGGGACTCAGGCCGTGCTGGTGTTTGCATGGATCATTCCATGCAAGTTGGAAGGCTCCTGAAAGCACACCTCGTTTTGGCCTCTCATTTTACAGAAAAGGCTTTGAGGGGCTGCTCCTGGGGCAAGTGGATGTGAGGGCCTTGGAATTCCCTCTTGGCTTGCTCGCCTTCCCACTTCTGGGACTTGGCTTAGGTACCTTCTGAGCCGGGGGTTCCCTCAACCAGGCAACGAGCATAACACCTACCTCTTAAGTTCCTTGTGAGGTCAAGTAAGGTCATCCTGGCCTTCCACGTGGGAGAATTTAGTGGGGGGGGGGGTGTTCAGTTAATGTTAGTGCTTCTATTTCTGTCCTCCCTAATCTTTTCTTTATGGTACCTAGTTCCCCAAAAGGACCTTTTCCCCCACTAGGCTATGAATTCCGGGAGGTCAGGAACTCCGTTCAAGTCTTGGGTTTCTTAGCACCTATGACAGTGCCTGGCATTGACCCATGTAATTTCAAATTGACCAGTGTTAGGCAGGGTTTCCAGACTCCCCGAGCTCAGACCCCCCACCCTGGGAGCGGAGAGGCCTGCCCTCAGAGGGCCCCTCACAGCCCGCATGGCTGGGATTCCTCAGCCAGGTTCACAGAAAGACAGGAGCCGTGGGGAGGTTTCTGGGACTTTTATTTTTACTCTTTATATTTTCAAAGCCAGTAAAGATGGGCAAATGCTTCGTCCCTTTTGGGCTGCATTCCTCTAGCCAGCCCTCACCCGCCTCTCCCGCCCCTCCCACCTGCCCGCCTCTACGAGTCACCTGGGCTGAAAAATGCCACCCCACCAGTGCCAGGCTGCAGCAGTCTAAGGAAAGGAAGGACGGGGGCGGGGGTCCCCGCTGGGGCCTCCCCCTTCCTGTGTGGGCACACCATTTGGAGAACCCCAGTTGGAGGTCCCCGCTGGGGCCTCCCCACTTCCGGTGTGGGCACCCCAGTCTGAGGTCCCCTCTCTCCGGGTGATCTTGTCCTTGTATCAGCACCAAGGGAAACCCAGGTGGGCCGCTCTGGGGTGTAGCAGCATCGGCCCCTGGGATTCTCTCATTTTTTCTCTGCCTCTGCCTCCAACCTCCCTCTTTCCCAGCCAGGTGGAGTGGGGGGGGGGTCTTGTCTCCTCCTATTCTGGGGGAATCCCCGCTGACGGCAGAGTGGAGAAAGGGAGCCAGGAGGACTTGGCCCTCCAGGGGTGTGATCCTGGAGTTAGGGTGTCAGGAGGGTTTCTCCTTCGCTGGGACCCACTTCCCCTCCCTGAGGTGGATTTCCTCCAGCAGGGGTTCTGTAGTTAGTTCTGGCCCCTCCAGTGGGATCCTTCCTGCGCCCGGGTCAGAGAAGGGTACCTGGACATGCCCTCGCTTCTCCTGCAGTCAGCCAGGAGCCCACCTGGATCCAGCACCCCGGTCTCCCAGCTCCCAGAGCAGAAGGGCGACCTCTGCCCCGGCCAACTAGCTCCCTGGGGGTGGGGCCCCCCTGCAACAGCTGGCTCACAGTGGCACGTCCGGGACCCCACAGCCACTTTCCTGGTCGCAGAGCTTGGTCATTTTCATCTACCTGGGCACTCAGGCGTTTGCGGAGCGGGCAGGGCCAGGCCTGGGCCCCAGAGGCGCGGGACGGCAGACAGGGTGACCGGTCTCAGGCAGCGAGGGGCCCTCCCTCCCTGCTCCCGGCTCCCGGCTCCCTGCTCCCTCCTTCCTCCTCCCTCAGCTGGGCTGGCCCCTCCGCCGCCGCCGCCGCCCCCTGGCCTCCTCCCTCTCGCCCTCCCCCTCCCTCCACCTCCTCCTCCTCGGGGGGGGGGCGGGGGCGGGGGCCCCGGACCCCCGGGCGGGGCAGGGGAGGGGCCGCAGGCGGGGCGCGGCGGGGACGGGGGGCGGGGGTGGGAGGACGAGGGCGGGCGTCAGAGGCTGTGCGCGCCCAGGCTGAGCACCGAGAAGGCGGCGCGGTGCTTGCGGAGTAGCAGCCGGATCTTCTCGTCGTCCGAGTCGGGGTCCAGCGGCTTGTTGTACTCGTCGTCCTCGTTCTCCGAGGCCGCGCGCTCCGCGCCCGCGCCCGCGCCGCCCGAGGCCCGGGGCGTGGAGGACGACGGCTCTAGGGCGCTCTTCTTTCGCCACTTGGTCCTTCGGTTCTGGAACCACACCTGGGTGGGAAGGGGGCTGAGGCTCGTGCGCACACCGCACACACAGGGCCCCCCTTCAGGAGGGTGACTCCACTGGGCGGCAAGGACACTCGATCCTTATTTTTCTAGTAAAATAAATGGCTCAGTGATAGACCAGGTTGTAATATTCACACCGTTTGGGCGGCGGGGGGTAAAATAGAAACGAATGCGTTTAAGTGAAGCAGCCCTTTCTGCTTGGCTATAGCCCTCCTTTCGGTGGAGCTTCTCTTTTGCCACCTGGGGCACTTGGATGGAAGATGCTGGAATGCCCAGGTGAGGGCACTCAGTAGGTGCCCAAGAGTCGTCCCTTCTTTAGCTTCATGGACCTTCACTGAACTTCATGAATAATTTCCCCCTAATTATAAAAATAACGTATTTACATTGCTTAAGATAGTTGATGAATGCAGAAAAGTACCTAAAGAGGCAGAAAAATAGGTAAGAGGGCCCAGACACGCCCTCCGCTTCCATTCAGCAGACCTGGAAGCTGCAGAGGTAGGTGGCTGGTGATGCTAGCGGAGGCCAGCCGTGGGTCCCAACCCGCCCCTGTGCTTGCCTCTTCTACCCTTAAACCTGTCAGCATGTCACAGAGCTGGGCAGTTCGGGCATAGCTTTCTTCTGGGGGGGCCCCCCACCCAAAGTCTCTCAGGAGAGACCTGGCATCGCGGTGGCCTCTGGGAGCCTGGAGGGAGAAGCCCGTTCACTGACTGCAGGCTGGGTGACAGGCAGTGTGAGCATGGCCCTTGCACGCCGCTTGGAGGCTGCCTGCCCCGCGTATCCCGTCCGAGCTTCATTTTGGGTGGACTTGGAAGGAGGTGTGATCTTCACCTTATTGGCAAACCAAGGCCGGCTCCTCCTGCCAGGTGAAGCAACAAGCCTATAAATCCAGTTCTAACGTGGCCCCGAGACTGACTCCTGATCTGCGCCAGAGGCTGCCAGCAGCCCTGGAAATTTCTGGCCAGCACTGTGCAGAGGAGGGGAAGGCATTAGGTGGGTGCCCCACAGATCTGGCTTTGAGCCCCAACTCTGCACTTACCAGCCAGACGACCTTGAGCAAGAGGCTCAGCTGAGATCGTTCCTTCCAATGTAAAATGGGTAAGAGTCCCCACCTCCAGGTTGCTGGGAGGCTTAAATGAGCTCCTGCACTCAAGGCTCTCAAAACAGAGAGCAGTATTGACAGCCGTCTTTTTGGTTATGGTCATTATCGTCACCTCTGGGGTGCGGTGGGCAGGACAGCCTCCCGCTGAGAGCCACCTTTCTTCCCCTGGAAGGCTGCTCCCTGCAAGGCAGACCCCTTCTCCCGCAAAACTCACCTTGACCTGTGACTCGGTCATCCCCAGCGAGTATGCCAGCCGTGCCCTCTCAGGGCCAGCCAAGTACTTGGTCTGCTCAAAGGTCTTCTCCAGGGCAAAGATCTGGTGTCCCGTGAAGGTGGGCCGGGTGTGCTTTTTCTTGTGGATGCTGTCGCTCAGGGGATCCGGGGCTGGCGGGAGGAAGAAAGTGTGTGGTTAGCGGGAGGAGTAGGGGTGCCAGCCCTGTCCTGCATCTCCCGCTGGGTGAGCTCCCTCCTACAGAGAAGCCCCTGAGATTGTGGGGGCATCGTGACTCCGCTAACAAGCAGCATTCCTGGTGATCTGACCTCTGCCACATTTGGACGGACAGGGACCCCAAGAGGGCCCCTGCCCCAGGGGAGAGCTACTTAGGGGCAGAGGGTGCTTGCAACCTGCCCTGGTCTCTCTGTAATGTTTTCACTACTCAGTGATGCTGCATTACCTCCAGGGGCAGCAAGAGGTTCTTCTCGGTTTTCTCACCAAGACACAGGCTAGGTACCTTCCACCAACTGTCAGGGCCCCAAGGGGTCTGGGAATTCCTCTCCTGCCTAATTCCTTGTTCTTAGGATCCCATTTTCCAGGTTTCTGAGAAAACCAGAGCTTTAGGCCCCAAGTTACTGCTCTCCCTTGTCACCAGGCCTAGAAGTCCTATGGTCTCAACCACACAGGACAGTCTGCACACAGAGGCTCGGGGCCCTGCCCCCTGCCCAGCTAGGGCAGCCACTCAGGCAGGAGCCGGGCTGGAGAACAGCAGGGCTCCGGGGAGGCAGAAGGCCTGCCTGTTGGGCCTTGGTCAGCGCAGCCCAACAGCCCATGTCCCGTCTCCTCATGTTATAGGTAAGGAAACTGAGGCACCGGGTGGGGAAGAAGCTTCCCAAGAGACTGTCATCCGCAGTCCTCTCTCCCTTTGTGTTAATTCAGCCACCGACTTGGATACTTTCCTGTGTGTGGCTGTGCACTTGGGATTGAAGAGTAGGGGCGTGGGGAGAGTGTGTGTGGTGGGGGGAGGGGGAGATGGAGGTGAGAGAGACAGGCCTAAAGCACCCCCAAGACCAGTTCCAAGAGATGAGGTCTTCACCCACATGGAACTCGCCATGCTTCAGGCTGAGTGAGGGGTGGGCTGTCAGGCGGTGTGGCCAACCGGAACAGTGCAGCAGATGGGGAGGCAGATGTGTTTTGGGGTTTTCTTGGTGGGCGCCAAGCCCCTATTGCGGTGGGGCAGCCCCGAGGTCCGAGAGGAGCAGAAGTTCCCTCCACCTCTGCCCCTGCCTGGTCCTGGCTGGGCCTCCATGGCACAGGGAGGGCTCCTGCGGCCACTGTCACCTCCCTGCCTCCCAGGGGAGCCTCACGGGCCCGTGCATGTCCTGCCGCCTCCTCCGGGCCCCGACTGGCATCCTGGGGACCCCGCACCCGTTCTCTGAAAACAGGTTTGGGCATGGTAGGGTAGGGAGACCCCCCCACCCCAACAACTAGGGCCGATTCTGACTTGACTCGGCAGCTGCTCCTGGGGGCCGGGCAGTTGTCGCTGCTCCTGCTGACATGAGCCCCGAGGAGGATGGTGGATGGCCACCCCCTTGATTGCAGGTGGACCAAGATGGGGTCAGAGTGCATTTGGTGGCCCTGAAGGGTGTCAGGGCATGAGTGGGTCTCCCTGGGAAGGTGATGCTGTGGCAGCTTCTCACTGGGGACAGCATTTGCCTGCTTTGGAGGAAGAAGTGACATGGGCTCTGAGTGGGAGAAGGAAGCTAAGCTTCCAGGCGGACCCTACATAGGGCAAATGTGGGTTATGGGGTCTTCTCCTGACCTGGAGACCCCCGGGGTTTTTAGGAGGGCAGCTGAGTCAGCCGCTGGTAAGGGTGAGGGGTGAGGGGCAAGACACCTGTCCAGGCAGAGCTGGGGTGGGCCCAGGAGGGGAGAAGTCAATCGTGCGCCACGGTGAGCCATGGACCCAGGTGTCTGATGGTGGCTGAGGAGAGGTGGATGGCAGGTACATACCACCCTGGGAGCCCTCCCCTCCCTTCCCACACCTCCTCCTCCCCTGATCCTTCAGGGGGCCGGGGGGCCGGGGTGGGGATGGAGCCTTGCCCTGTACTCACTGTTGCCGCATTGCCGCCCGCCTCGCCAGTCCTGGCCCGTGTCCGCCCAGCAGTTCCGGGTCCGGGGCGGGTACTCATTGCCAGCCTTGGGAAAATTCCCCACCTGGGTTCCATAGTAGACCCCCTGGGAGCCGAGTCCACCAAAGCCTGCCACGTGGGGGTAGCTGGAGAGGATGCTGCTGTTCGGCGTGGCCACGGGCCTGCTCAGGATGTCTGTGATCCCGTGGGGGGTCCCGGCAGCCAGCTGGGGGCCCAGCCCCGGAGGGCTGAGCTTGTAGAAGGAGTTCTGCACCGAGTACTGGCACACGGGGGCCTTCATCTCCGAGAACTGAGCCAGTGGCGTGTTGTTCAGCAGGAACGTCCCCTGCAGGTTGGACTCCATGATCCTCGGGTCAGGGTGAGGGAAGGTGAGAAGCCCAAATCTAGGCCCCTAAAGCCAGAGACCCCGAGCTCTGACCCAGAAGCCCATGGCAGGTTTGGAGGGTCAAAAGCGGCCCGAGCCCCAGACTGCCCTCCTACCTAAGGCATCCGGCCTGGCCCTGGCCCGGGGAACAGCACCTACGTCAGCGGCTCAGAAGTCAGGTGCTCCTGGGGCAGGTGAGAGGCCTCACCAGCGCCCCTTGGCTCTCTCCCTGTCCGTCCTGGAGAAGGGCGGCTCCCCACGCCTCAGCTCAGACCCCTCCTCTGCCTGTGAGTCTGGGGACCCTCCATGAGAAGTTTTAAGTTCAGAGAAGCAACATTTCCCTGATAAAGATATGGCCCATTAGAATACAGACCGGAGACTGGCTGAGCTGTGAGAGGCGCGGCACCATTGGTCGAAACCCACACAGGCCTCACATTGGCTTTTCCAAGACAAATTGCACTTTGAAAGATCGACTGTAAAATCAGCCAGGGTGTGTGTGTGTGTGTGTGTGTGTGTGCGCGCATATGAGGCAGGGGGGAATGAGCTCTGGAAGCTCTCTTCATTCTCAGAGGGTCTACCAGCTCCTGGTCCCCCAAGCCCAGCATCTAGGGAAAGGTGGGTACCTGGGGCCCCCTCAAGGCTCCTGAGGCAGCCGCTCCCCTGAGGGTGAGGAGGCCAGGGTCGGGGTCGCTGCCCTGGGGTGCACAGACCCCTTTATGTGCAGATCCCCAAGCCAGTGGGGGAGTATGGCGTCTGAGTGTGGACGCTTCTCTTCCTCCGAGCTGGGATGGGTAACTGGGGAGGCTGGGCTTTGGCTGGGAGGGTGGGGGGTGGGGATGTGGATCTCTGTGACTGGCCTGAGAGCCTGGGAGTGGGAGCCTCTCAGCAGACTGGGG